GGAGGCACTGATCACCTTGATTTTTTTTTAACGGAATGACATTTTTTGTACCGTTGATCGATAGAGTATAAAATTCTGAGGGAAACTGTGGTGACCTTCATATGTCCTAAACCTAATAGTTAACGAAATCTTTGTACTCGTTAATTTTCGATCAATATTCTTTTGTTTAGTGAAAGAAAAAATGACAGAAATCGTTTTAGATTCACAGTGGAATAGTTCCCTTTCGAGACACTAATATCGTCCCATGGTTTTGACGATCTGTGTACCGGAACTTTCTGAGATCCGTCGACATTTCACCGCATGTCGCTTCGAGGCTTTCGCGTTTCCACTAAATCATCCGCGAAAACTGTCTTCCCTTTGTGGTTCTCCCCTTGTGGGTGAGCTTTCAATCGTGAATTCATTATGATTCCGATTTGTCTGGGGTCAACATGATCAGTGTGCAACAAACAACATTCTTAAAATTAGCTGGTTCAATATATATATATATTTTTTCGAGTACAAAATAACAAGATACTACATATATATCAGTCTCACAATTTTGAAATACCGATTGAAAGATCTGGGTGTTAAAGGGTTAAGGAAGTCAGGGTTCAAAGGTCACTGTAAAGTCACTTAATATGGCTAAGTGTCGCTACCGAACGCTATCATCCTCGATTGCTTCCATCTCAAAGAGGTCGAAACTCCAGCCAGCGACCCCATACGCTCGTTTTTTCCGCCATCTTTCATATCCTCAGCCAACGATCGTTTCGTCCCACGAGTCCTTCGGGGCCTCGTCCTGAAAATTGAAAGGCCACCACCGTTGAAACAAACCCGAAGTGGAGGGGTGGTGGGTTGACGGTGGTGGCTCGTGAAAGTATAACGAAATAATACAGAGAGAGGACGCTCCTCTCGTTCAGGAGAGACGCTTCTCCGGCTGATTCATCGCGAAATTGAGAAAATGCTTAGCGTGGAGCGTGCTCGTTGAAGCTCCACGGCATTAAGGGGAAGCGGATGCAAATCCGGCCGACTCGCGAAATATTTGTTTCGCTGACTGGCGTCGAGCACTTCCATCAAACTTTATGCTCCTCTCTCCGACCGTTTCGCGTGTACCTAATAATCATACTGATAAACAGAAAAGAACAAGGTACATATATCAAGCCCGCCATACTCGGATTTTCCTCTAACGAACAGATTGATTATAAAAGTAGGAGCAGAACTTATTAAAAATAGGAAACGCTGGTGCATAATGTGCATATTATACATATATTGCTTTATAGTAATATGTAAGTTATAATAATATAAGGAAATAATATTTCACTTTCGAGAACTGTTCGTGCCACTAAATAAAACCACCCTCAAATTTCCAAGTCTTATACATTGTGATTTCCTGTACTTGGAGAATAAATGAAAAATTTCAGCTCGATGCAGAGAAATTTCGTGTGTATTTCGTGAACAACCAGGCCGTAGCACGCGAATTAACCAGATATAACCGAGCCGGAGAGGGGAACAATGAGAACATGATAAATGGAGATTGAAGGGACAGGGACAGTTGTCTGTCTTGGCTCGTCTTTAGTCACCGCTTCTGGCGTTATTACGAGCCATTATGAGCTTCAAAGCTGGAATATGGAGCAAGTTACTATATATACGGGAGGCGTCCTCATTGTTTCGAGCGTCGCTTTAAAATAATTGCTAAGCGTCCATTGTCCACGCAACAATCGCGCCGACGTTCTCGTATCCATTACATTCGTAGCGGCGCCCGGTGTTGTCCTCCGTTAAATCTTCTCCCGTTGAATCGAAAATGAAACAACTGGCGTTATCTTTTCTTGGCGGAGACTGAGGGGAAATTGTATTCTCGTTTCTTCCGAGGCGAGGACGTGACAATTATGGATAATAAATAGCCGGATGAATGTTGGAAATGTAATCGAGAACGTTGAAATCACGGTAATGTTTCGATAATGGATCACGATTCTGGACCGTGAATGATAGATGTTAAACGAGTTAAGCGCTTAATGATCTTGCTCGTTAAAAGGTGGGAATATTAATGACTATGTAGCTGTGAAGTACTCCATTGATCTAATAAGAGTTTCCTAATTTGTTCCTTTCGACATTTTTTAATATTATTTTCTTCAGAGTTTTACGGAGGGTGTAACTGAGGTATGATCGAGTAGGAGGTGGATTCTACGGGAAAACATAAGTCGAAAATATAATGGGTGAAACGAACAAAAAAAGTCTTAAATAAAAATACACTAGTTTCTTAGAGCACGTCAGTAACAGTAAGAAATTAACAAGGTAAGAAGTTCAATGAAGACCGCGTATCGGCGGGATATCAGATTTCCGCTGACAAAAGGCGTTCCACCACCGGCGAAACGGGCGTGTTCCGTTCGCTTGCCACGGGGACCATTACATGTTTGTGCCACTTTAATCGAACCACCGGGGCGGGTCTGGATTTTCCGGAAAATTAGAGATACGGTTCACACCGCGAAAATACCTCACGTGTGACTCGTATCACCGTGGTGGGTCCCCGAACGATCGGTTGGGGGGGGGGAGGGAGATGTGCTCGATGAAATCGTTAAGAGCCACTGCCCAGTTAAAATCGTGTGCACCGTTGCGAACAATTCCCCCGGTTTTCAATTTATACACACGGTTCGAGCACCAATTGAAAATCATCGAACGAACAGGAATAGAGTTTTAAGGCTCAAAATAGTCGGAAATTTTATTGAACCAAGCAACGTAGAATTTTTCGTGGCACTATTATTGTCGTCGGAAACGTGTACTTCGAAATTCCACCGGCAAAAGTCGAATAGAACGTCGCGAAAAAAGCTCGTAGGCGAGGTATGGCGTTGGAAACGGACGTGAAAACTCCGGGAAAGCTGGTCCCGTGCAGGGCTTTGGTTCAGTCGGATAACCGTAACCCGTTGCGACGACACCACCGCAGTCGCATGAATTTCTGAGGGTCACAGGGGACGGAATTCCGGAGAAAGTGCCGGTCCTGTCCCCTGCCCTCGGAAGATATTATTAAACAATTAATTAAAATGGTCACTACACACCCACCGGTACTCCCTACGACCGTCGTCGAAAGTCCATCGAGCGCCGTTCGTGAATCATTTATCCTGAGACGCTTGGAAACTCTTCGTAAGTCAGATTGAGTTTTATTTTTAAATAAACAGAAGGAATTGATAATGTTAAGTTGCTGTGTGATTCGTGACTTCGGAAAGTAAAACCTTTTTCGAAAGAAAGTAGTAACCGACAATAGTTGTATCGTTAAATTGTTTATTTAAGCATAGAATTACAGATACTACGGGCGTATAGAATATTGCAAATAAAAGCCAGATGAAACGACGTCTTTCGGGAACGATTGAATTTTCCTACAATTTCCGAGCCAGCCCTTAATAGACTCATTTGTATTAATTGATTCAGTGCAATGCAAGCGAAAACTGTTTAAGCTTGGAATTCATGTTCCGACGTTCGCGAAGTTCTGGAAGGTTGTTGAAGGGAAGAAAATTGTTCGATCGTGACGTTGAAAAGAAAATCGCAGTAAAAACCGTGAGAGATTTTAGTGGCCACGTTGGCTGGGGGCCGGGAAGAAAAATGAAACCACAGCCCCCGGTTTCCCGCGAACGTCTGCAAAATTCACTGGCTTGCTAAAAGGGCCGTCGTGTAAGTCTCTCCTCCGGCTCGTGAGGCAGAATTAACCTTTAATTGAACCCCTTCTATCGGGCTTTAAAATCGACGACTTCGCGCGCAGCACTTTCGTAATCGTAGACATTTTAAATCAGAGATCGAGTACATATATGGCTCGTGTACATTTCTCGGGTGATGCACATTCATTGCCAAGCGAATTTTTCCACTTTATTCAGCGACACGTTGCAAATTGAACATTACTTCCCCGCTGTCACTATGACCGGGCACTATTAAAAAAATTTAATTTTGCCAACGAGATAACTCTAACAAGATTTTTTTGTCTTTATGATCCGATGGTTGATGAACAATTAACTAGATTTTTTCAGAGCTCACTCTTCATTGTATCTGAAAAAATTTCATGCCCATAATTAATGTTTCTATATTTATTTGATAATGACTTTCAAAATGTAGACAATCACTTGGTGTTTCAGCCCCATTTTCTTAGTGATAAATCTTTCCTACGGTTCGCTGCACAGTTAATTGTCCCTGACCCTAATAATACAACCCTCTCTAATCTTGGATTCAACAAAAACTGTCCCTGTTGTTTCCCCTTTAAAGTTACGAAACTTTGTGACTACCCTTCCTACCCTCGTAGACATTCCTTTGCGCCAGCCTCTCTGCTCTTGTAAACGCTCTCGACTCAAGAATAGAATTTAAATACCTTAAACAATTATCAGCCCAAATAGTACTCGAATTTCATTCCACCTGTAGTAGGTACGTCCAGATATAACTTTGACTGTCACGTCACGCAAATATGGATAACACATACATTCCAAAGAAGCTGAATTAATATCACAGTATAATTTCAAACGAGGCTTCACAGCTGTTGATTAAACGAGTACTCGACGTGTCTGACCACGTACGGCCTTTTCCACTGTGACAGTCAGTAATTCCTCTTGTGCCGTCCCCAGTTTATATTTTATTATTTGTTTATTATTCCCGTTTTAAAATAGTTTTCATTATTTAGTAAACGTATAATACTTCCATTATTATTTGTTATATGACTAAATGATTATGCCTCATTATATAAATAAGCGAAAGTAGAAGTTTAAAATAATAACTACCCAAAATCCTCTGTCCCACCTGTACATCTTCCTTAAAACTTCCGAACAATAGCGATACAAAGACCCAGTCTGTAACTATAACAGTTTCCGTAATGGTAACACCTTTACGTAAGTCACGGGAATACCCCGTAGAATTCTATGAACCGTGTTTGGTGCCAGGCGAATTTCCCTCTCGACGCCCTCTAGCACACATTCGCGAAAGAACCAAGCCAGTAATACGAATTCTCAGTCATAATGAAACCGTCTGATCAAACATCGCTCCTTTTCTCGTTCCAGGCAACGAACTGATCTGCGACTGCAAGCTGGCATGGATCTGGGGTCTGAGGAACGAGACGAAGAACAGGGAGCTGCGGGAGGCCCTGCGGAAGCTCACTTGCTTCCTGGAGAGCAATAACGCATCGCAGAAGATCAACAACGCGGACCTCGAATGGAACCAGGCTCTCGAGATTGCACGAAATCCAAGTGGGTTGCTCTGCTTACACGTTACTTCCCCACTTCTCCCTGCGTTCGTCCTGTCTCCTTCGCGTCCCGTTTCCGTTAAACTTTCTTACCCCATTGTTACGGGAGTCCGATGCTCGGGATTTTCCGTGTCACCTAACGGCCCATACTCTTTCGCGAATAACACACGCAGAACCGCCGTTCGCTGTACGGTGCTTCTGGTTGGCGAAGCTAAAAAAATAATAAAAAGAATCCGTGACAGTGTTCTGTACAAGCTGGACCACGAAACAAAATATCTGGAAAAAAAGGTTCTTAAAAATTTGGTACGATCATCTTGAAGCTCTCCTTGAATCGTTTCATACTAGCCAAAAATTTTCCGATCGACCAGGTAACGCTGGAATGATCTAAGATGATCACGTTTCGTGGTCCATTCTGTATATCGGACAGATTCTTGCGGAATCCTTTTCAGCTCGTTCTATCAACCACCATCCCCTAAATAACTTCATCTTCCATCATCGGTAAGCGCTGATACAGATACGGTTCGTTTTCATGCGTCCAGTTGGTTCATTGATTCATCAACTTTTCTACATTTTTGCTTCATCTTCCAATATCACGAATATCGAAAGGCCAATCGGTTTCCATTCGGGTAATTGCGAATTACAATTCCTCGACTGAGGATTATTGTGTGTGAAAAAAAATTGCGTTTTCCGTGAAAAAAGTTTTCTATGCGTAGCACTCGTTTATCGTGCCTGGGCCCCGGTGTACTATTTCCCATCACGGGCAGGAATTTGATTTAAAGAACAATTTAATAGTAACGCGCGAACAACCCCTGCTCCCGTTAACGAATTTCTTTCAATCGGAACAAATCCCCCGGAAATATTAGCCTTCTGTAACTACGAATGCGTATACACGTAAACCAACCATCAGTCCATTAAATTCGATTTTCCATTTGTACCTGTGGTTTCACCGACGAGCCATTTACTACTATTACCGCGGCAGATATAAAACTTTCAATCATATAAATCAATGGTTTTTAATTTCATTGTGCCCAAGTTCGAATATCGTTCCATTAAATCGCCCCCGTTGTTATTTATACCACTCGGAGTGACGGTGACCGGCCATACGGTACCATTATTCCGTGAAAATAAAAACTCGATTAAAATTTTATTAAAACCGGATCCTTGTAACGGCCGTTTCTGCTGTACGCAAACCGTGTACACCAGCACGGAGTGTATAAAAAATGTGGAACAACGGATTTTTTTGTTACAACGTTTCCTGTCCTGAATTTTGAATACAATGGGCTAGACTGTCTGACCATTATCGACCATTTCTACTTGCGCCATACTCTGAGAGCATCAGAATGTTATTTGTTACCCATCGATCATAATACTTTCTCTCGGATCAAACGAATTTAGGTATTTGTTCCTTTTAGAAGACGATCGTTAAAATATTATATAGGGTGATGCAAAAGAAAATTCATAACTTCTAGGGTAGATACCTTCTTGCTTCGGGGAGCTATCGTACCGTATGGAAACAATGGATTATCTTATCATTGTTTCTTTCTCTGATTACAGAAGGTTTTTTACAATCTTTATTAGTTCCTTCTTGCAATTTTCTTCATTGTCTCCACACGGTACCGATAGCTCCCGAACCAAGAAAGTCATTCGCTTTAACCGAAACAAAAAATTGTTTACAACTTTGAAAACATTAATCGTTTGACCCATGTCTATTAGGACCTTTTTCATTATTTAACGAGTACTATCTACTATAGAACTTATGAACCCCTTTTTTGTATCACCCCATATATCCATAAAAACGACGATTTCGTATCGTATAATTTAATACAATAATCTTAATGTAATCTAACAATCGTTCAAGACACGAATTACGTTACAACGGAAATGGATAGAGAATAGTATTTGAGAGGAAACAGGAAGCTTTTTTTACCGATTGAATATTTACATTCTTTCCGACGATCGAATCTTCCTTAGAACGGAATTTCCGTTTTATTCGATAATGAAATTCGTCCCGTGGAGCAAAAGCAACAATCCCCCGGGAATGGATTTTCGGCGCCTGTTGGATATGCATTTTTGTTCGAGTTTCCGGTTCTATGCTATTACAGAGGAATACCTCGCCATGAACTTCCGAGGCGGGAACATCGAGGACGCGGGCGCTTACCTGGACGACGAATACAAGAGCGAAGATGGATACGAGGATTCCTCCTTGAATTCCGATTTCCAGCCGAAGGTGAGAATCCTATATTTCTCGCTATATTTTTCTTTTCCCTATCCTAGATCAGCTCCAGTTTCGATCCCGTCGCCACTTAGAACCTTATACGGAATTAAACTGTAACAGCAAGAAGAGAGAAAAGAAATAAATACAATATACAGGGTGACTCAATAAAAAGTACTATTTGAAATAACTCGTTACTTATTGGTTGTATAGAAAAAACATTTGAATAAATTATGTAGCATTTTAATGGACGCATCGGATACATACACTTTGATTTTTTTATATTTTTTAGTTTTTTTCAAGGTCAATGCTTATTCTTAATACTATCATGCTATAGGTCATTGAATTCGTCCTGCTATAGGCAACGATGTGGTATTAAAAAAAAGATGCATTGACTTTGAAAAAACTCAAGGTCATCTTGTATCTCAAAAAAAATTACATTAGATAGTAGTTGTTTTAAGCAATTATTTTAGATAGTAGTTGTTATTGACTCACTCTGTGTATGTACTATTCCCTGCATTGTTCCACGCGAACAACGGCGCTAAAAAATTTAAATGACACGGGATACGATCGCAAAAAGATTCGAAATACGAGGCTGGAATATCTTATCGACGTGACTCGACCGACGCCATTGGTAATTCTCGCGTCGTGTCTGGAATTTCGTAGGAATATATTTTATTTAAACGGACGACCGTGTAGATAAGCTCGGTGATGTAGCCGTGATGATTTTTCGGAAATGAAAAAAATTCGAGAGACAATTTAAGGAGAAACTCGTTTCGGCTGACTGTCAAAGGGTTTAAAGGTAGTTGTGTTTTTTTCAACGAAGATGTATGGGAACGCCATAGAGCTCGTAACTGCCGCGAATTTAACAACGTATCGGGTAAATTTGTTTAACACCGTCCTCCCCCACCCACTCCCCACCAACGCGAGATTTCCATTTTTATACACAATTAACGCGACGGCCGGACCGGACGGTTTGCTTTTTTTCAATTATGCCCGGGATAAAGCGTCCGCCGTAACTCAAACCCTTCGCGGGCCATTTTCGTCGTTTTGACAAGTGCAAAATCGATTTCGAAAAAACGTCCCTGATAGTTTACTGTTTTTTTTTTCGTACCGCCGTGGGAAATGATTTATGGCTCAGAAGCAGAGGGTTCCCGAGATATTGTAAATAATAAAAAAAATTTTTCTCGCCCGTTTCGTTCGAGGGAAAAAAAGTGTCGTCGATTTTGCGGGAATTTTATTTCTTTGTTTTTATGAAACACACCGAAGTTTTAAAGGATATTTTCATAAAATTCGCAGGATTTACACCGGGATAAAAGGATCCAGATGTACAATATTTCGTTTGTTTTATTAAAATTACTTGTGTTCGAAGTGTAATTGGTCCGTCTGATACGGAATCAAAGCGTGCTCGATACATAATAATTCTGTTTGAAGCACCGACTCGTGACCGAACGCTTTGACGGGTAAATATATACACTCTCCATGGCCTCGAACAAACAATTCGGCTTCATTGTGGCCGAACACACGGCCCGATATTGTCAAATAACGTTCCTCGATCATCGAGTGTCCACTCGGAACATCTAAACGCGATTGCATAGCCCAAACTATGGACACGCTCAGGCATTTGAAGCAGGCGCGAAATACAGGGAGATAACAATTTCACCAAAGCTCAACAAGACTTTTGTAGTAATCTTCATCGAACATTCGTCAAATTGTTGACATGCTGAGCAATTTTTAACAGGGGAAAAATTTATTAAAAAATCATTGCAGAATTTTATCAAGACAATTGGAAAATTAACATAGAGTTTCATGAAAACTTAACATAGAATGACACATGATAATAATAATTAAAAATACCTGTAAATGCATCAAATGCCAACAAAATTTTCCATGCCACCTCTGGGTCATAGGTTCGCCATGCCCAGTGTCTTTGACTTCCAGAACCTAACCCAGACGATCGATCACAATTAACCGGGTCGTTTCCCGTTCGCTCTGTCGCAGGTCCAGGTGATAGAGGGCAAGTCGATGCAGGTGAAGATTCTGTTCGACCTGAAAATGGAGGAACTTCCGTGCCCGGAGCCCTCGAGGGAGGATCTAATGGCCTCCGAGCAGCCGTCGAGTCGCCACGAGAACGCTCCCGTGGGATCCGGTTCCAGCTGGTTCTCATCCTCCGCGATCTCCATCCACATGGAACTGTCCGTTCTCGTGTACTGGTCGGTGCTGTTGCTGTCGGTCCTATTCACGTAGAAGCGGCTACGCGCGCTTGACGACCCGCTAAGCAGATCAGAAGGATGGCCCGTGGACGAGGACGAGGACGGTTCTCGGTATCCCGAAACGCGTGCATAATCGAGCCCGGACCGATGTGTGGACGTGTGCGCGTGTGTGTATGTGTATCGTTGCGTGTTTCCTCAGCCGAGAGAATCGACGATCGATCAGCCAGGACGATATTTCGACGCGCTTTCGGGCGTCCTCGAGCGATGAAAAAAAAAAACTACTTCGAGACTCATCGTTGTCTTCTATCTTCGTTCCTTCGTTCACCCAAGGAGAACCTTGCGCAAGAATCCCTCGACTGGATCGCGAAAACGATCGAATTCGCGTATCGTTCGAAACCACTGACCGAGGAGTCGTCCAGTAACCATTTCGATCGGAAGTGGGCAAGTTTTTATCATCCAAGAGGTAGGCAAGGTGAGTCTCATCCTGGATTCCACTGGGGAAAACTCGATGGGGGAGGCGACGAGTCGAAATAAATCGATTCTTTCTCTCTCCCTCTCTCATTCGCGACGAGGACACTTCGCAGTGTGCTTGAACGTCCAAGGCTCGACGGATCCAACGAGCCTCCGTGTGATCGAAGGAACAAGCACACGCTGAGGGGATCGCAGCCGATTGCGCGCACGCCATGGATCTGGAAGAAGAAAAGATTCGAACGGATATCGGGCCCGTGTTCTACCCGCAGAAGTGGCACTCTGAATACCTTTGAACGGATACGTCGATTCTCTTTTTCTAATATCGGATCGTTATCGCTGAACGTTTATAGGATGCTTACATCCGGTATCCAAGATGGCGGGACTTTTTATTCTGGAGTTTGTATTACCGAATTTTTGAGCTGACTTTTCTTCCCCTTCCCCCCTGCCCCGTCCCATCTTTTTTGTCGATATACAGGGTGTTCCAAAAAATATAGTCCCATCTTTTTGAGATTCCCTGCATATACTATATATATATACATACAATAATGTTTCTTAATCGATTTTTTCCCCGTGATGGGCTTTAGTTCGGTTGACGGGGACTCAGTCAAGGATGGATAATCAAATCGTCTCCGTTTCGAGCTTCGTTCACGCCCGAACGTGACGGCTTTTTTTTATGAATCGCGCTGCATGTGTATGTATACACACAAACAGATGGTTTTTCCACGAGTTTTCGTGGCAATTTCTCGTCGTGTATCCGATCCTCCGGAGGCTGTCGTTCCCCGTCGAAACAAGTTCTCGCCGATCGGGGAACGACGAAGAGTGGGACGGAAAAGTTGGTCGGGAGACGATCTCCCGCGCGAGATTTAGTCAATTCCCCGTGCAATCACGAGCCGGTTTTATCGGCGAGGTGATCGTCGTAGTACCTACTCGGTCGTCCAGCGGAGAAAAGTTCTGAAGTCTGAAACGCTCCCCCAAAAAAAAAAAAAGAAAGAAAGAAAGAAATCCTCTCGATCGCCAAGTAGCTCTAGCCATGACACAGCCAGACACTTTGTACAAATTATTATTATTACTATGTATAGAGATCGCGTGCGCGTCTCGCCGCGATATGATATTATGATAAATTGTTGTTGTAATACTGTTACTGTAGGTGCGTACGTGTAATAGGTACGCGTTTAGATGGAGGCCGTTTGTGTTCATTACTTAATATCGTTCATTCACTGATAAAACCTGTATTCTTCTCTTTTGAATTTAATCAACTACTATTTTCCAATTTTTCAAACTGAAATCTATACGCCATAAAAGGGTCTATATATTAAAAAATATAATTTACATGTGCCAAATATTTATTAATATTATCATCACTTAAACTTCGACTTTAATCGATACAAAATCTTTAAAGCGTTAACTCATTGCTACGTTAACCCTACGTTCCATTTCAATTCTATCGATTCATTCATTTCGAGTTCTCCGTTCGGAATTTCTTATTTCACAAAGAATCCTATAAAATATTTGCCACCCTGTCAGAAATTCGTAGTATATGGCGAAAGTCTAGACAAGTGGGACGTGCACGCGTAATGTGATTCACGGTATAGGGTAGTTGTATTCGAGAGGTCAAGACGAGTTTGCTTCGACTACCAGGCCACCGAGGATCGTTCCTCCAACTCGATAGGATCGTTTATCCCTGAGTCACCTTTGGCCAAATCGAGAGTACCATCGTGTATCCACCTAGCCCCGCGACGTCTACGATGATTCGAATTCTCGGATAGTCGTCTTCCGACCATCTAACCTCCCCCTCCTGGCATCGAGTCAACCGACAGTTTCAACAGTTTCGCGTACGCGAACGACACATGCCGCATTCAATGAATAAATTAGCACGGTCTCGAATTCAAAGGCCAGGAATCCAATCCCTCCTCCACCCCCAACCCCTATCCCTGTCCTCGTCTCACCTAACCCAACACCTCGTCTATCCTTCCTTCGTCCCTGTCGAGCCTCCTTCAGCGAGCGAGCACGTCTTAATTACGCAGCTAATTGAACGTCAGACAATCGAGAGTGAAACGTCGCGAAGAGCCACGGCGAACAAGGGGAGGGGGGTGCGTGTGTGTAGGGATAAACCGATACCGTCAAGGTATGAATACTATTACTCATAACTTGTATCGGGAAAAAGTACCGGTATCTACTTACAAGAGAAGGCATGGAAGTGCCCACCTCCGATTTTGATGAAACTTCGTATGTCTGGTAAACAGTCAAAAATAAGGGATACGTATTTTTTTTTATCAGCTGAGACGCGACTTTAAAGGGTGAAACCACCCCTCGAAGTTTCGATCCGAAATATTTTTGTTACAAACAAATTATATTTTGGAAAATTTGTTAGCACCATATTATTCTACATAAAAAACCGCAAACCTCATCAATTAGAAGTTTTCGTGTATCTCCTCTGGTTTTCGAGATAGTACTTTCGGGTCGAAACTTCGAGGGGTGGTTTCAACCCTTAAAAAAATACGTATCCCTTATTTTTGACTGCTTAACAGACATACGAAGTTTCATCAGAATCAGATGGGGACACTTCCGTGCCTTCCCTTGTTAGTATCGCGTCAAAAGTGTCGATACCTACTTGTATCGAGGAAAAATGATCACAAAGTTCTTTTTTTTATTAACATAATATATTATAAACAGAGATGAACAGAATTCTAGTTGAATGGTACATAGTGAAAAGCTGCAGTACGTAAGGGCGTCATTCTGAACTTTGAACGGTTAATTAAATTAAATAATTGTTCGTCAAATGTCGACTCATTGAAGATGAAGTATTATTCTGTTATAAAAATTGTAATTTCCACTTTTAAACGGTTAAAAATGAAGTACTTTGTTCATCTTTTATTCGTTATTCGAGATAATTTGTCTTCGAAAATATCGATACTAAAAATACTCGATATCATTTGTATTTACTTGGATCGGTTCATCCCTACGTGTGTGTGTGTAATCTGACCGTGCAAGGTGAAAAAAGAGAAAATGGTTACGGTGAGAAGAATAGGTCTGATTGGGGAGTCAAGGTGCGATCCAGATATCGGTGAACCCCGTCGTCCGCAACCCTCCCCTTCCCTGCCGTGCGATTTGTAATATAAATAGCGAGCAGCGTGTTTTCTATTCAGTACTTCTGTTTGCTTGACACACCTTCAGTGCCATCCGTTCGACGTTAATTTATTACTCGATAGCGGTTAGCTTCCTGGTGAGGTCAATCCGGTTTGCGCGCCTCGTTGCTCCTCGCCGGGAATACATTCGATAAGTGACTATTGTGTGACCGTGACTCGTGGAAGTGGTGCTCGATTAAACGGTTCTCGTTTAGTCCCTTTTGTCCCTGTTGTCGGGATTCTTCGATCCTGAAGAGACTGTGTAAATTTGTGAGTGGACACTGAAAATACTAACAGAGACTGATTATTTAAGCCCCTCGATTGATTTAATCTGTTTAATGGTAAATAATAGTGCAGTGAAATTCTAGTTCGTTCTATTTATACGAAGTTTAAAACCATATCGACACTCTTCATTAAGACTCCAATGATCTTTCATTATAGGATTTAGGGAAATGTTTCTAGACGTAGAATCCATTCTTGTCATTTTTTACAGTAGAATATACTCGTGTCTAGTGTACTGAAAATATTTTTCATCGTGAAAGGTTAATAGTATCTATGATCCATAAAGATCATAACCAGCAACGGAAAGCCAGGGGTGATCGTTAGAAATCGGTTAAATTGTAACTCGAATGCTAGTAGAATGGCTTTTGCACTCGAAGCGTCGAACGCACAGGCGTTATTCCTTTGTCGAATGTAACAATTTTGCATTCGATGCATTACCCTTTGATGGTCAATTTATCGACGTGGCATTACAAGGGTTCGCTGAATCGGCGCTGCTTAATCGGCTTTTACTGGGACTGCTCGACGAGCCAACTTCGATTAAGTAGCTTCCCCGCGACGTACCACTTCAAAGGGGGAACAGGTACGGAAAGATCGGAAATCGTTAAACGAACAATAAAAATTTAATGAAACTTTGAGAATGATACGTATGAAATCCCCGATGGATTTCGGTTGAAACATTAATGTGTCCAAGTGACAATTTCCCAGCCCCGAATAAGTTATTTCCAACGATTCATTCTTGACTGACGCTGGTAGAAGATCGTAAAAATTAGGTAAAACTATCTACAATATTCAACTGTGAATTAGAGAAATCGGTGGTGTAGCGAAATAACACGCTTCGTATTACTCGAAATCACGATACGAGGAATAGAATGAATCTAAGATACTTCATAGTAACTTCAATATTCTGGAAATGACGAAGTATTCGAGGCCATTCCGAGCACCTTATCGTATTAAGATCTCCTTAAAAACCAACCGACCCGGAATTACAAAACACTGCCAGCAAACTGCAAATAATACAGCTCTGTTACTGCTCAGAATCACGAAACGAAGGGTTAAAGGAATTTCACCCCCTCCCCCACTAGCCACCCCCGTAGATACGGGTTTATCGAAACACGAGAACCACTTCCACGAAACGTGCCACTGCGTGACCAAATAT